TAACTATTAAATTACTTATTTTATTATTTTACCACTATTTAACTATTATCCTCGCGTACGTTTATACTTCCTTCGATCTTATCGCATCTCATGACAGAAAATTACAATTCATCGTGCGATTTGAACTTCGCTGACGCGTATCGCGTTGAAGAAACTATGGGTAAACCGACTGAATTCCCGAAGGGAAGCACCGTAATGGCAAAATATGGACGTGAAAAGCTTGTAGCGAAAGATCTTCAGCGCGCGTAGCCGGTTTCCTATGTCGACGATGCTGCTTACGTCCGCAACTCGCGCACATACCGCAGATAGGTATCCCGATAACCCGTTATCGCGATTCGCGATATACAATGTGCAGGCCGTACGCCAGAAGACGCTCGACGAGGCACGAAATAATCGAGCGATCGAACGCGCTCGTAAATTTCGCGCGTGATCAGCGGACAGAACGTAAACGTGCACGGGAAAAGTAATTATTAATTAATCGTTTTGCAATCGTGATTCTCATGCAATAAGAGTAAGATAAAACAACTCGATTCTTGAAAAAAATTTTAGCTTTAACGCTACCGTCGCATCGTCGTCTCATTACAGGCACGGTAGTAATAAAATTTCTTTTTATAGAAAAAAATGTTATAGAAAAAAAACAGATCGAATAGTTCAATAAAGCTATAGCTTGCTACGTGAATTCAATATCTATGTTATCTAGAACTGAGATGATTTAACAATGAAATTATTAAGCAATTATCAGTATATCTTCTTAATTATCAGATATGTGAAATAAAATAAACAATAAAAATTGCTAATGTTACACGTTTTCTTCATTACAACCGCAAAAGTATGTTCATCATTTTAGCCAGCATGTTTTTTATTAAAAATTTTCATTTCTAAATACTGGATTGATTTTCGTAGAAAGTTATCTTTGATATATTAAAAAATTTACTATTAAAACAAATATGATTACCTATATCGCTTTTTAATTTTAATCAGTTATACAACTTTGCTACTTTAATATAGAAAACTAGCTATATATTGCGGCTAGATAAATTAATTAAATCAAAATTTTTAGTTGTTTTTACAAATTTTTTTCCGTGTCAATGTATTATACATTTTTCTACAGAATAATATTATTTCTCTTTATAGTATACTGATTTTCAATAAAATGATAAATAAAGGTCTAAGTAAAAATGTCACGTTTCTTTTATTCTGTGAATTCATAAAATGTTTAACAATACAACAACAATACAATAAAAATAACTAAAAATAACTATTTGAAACAAGATGTGAATGCGACAAAGAATTCACGACGATAGTTAAAAGTTAAGATTCTGGATTCGGTGCTTAGAAATTGAGACAATCACGAATGTGAGTCAACAACGCCGAGAGCTACACCGAGAAAAATTTCTAGAATTCTAATTATCTCAACTAGAATTATATATAGATTTAACCATAAGAATTCCAATTAACTCAACCAGACTTTTTTTGTGTATGAATTAAGAATTACAGATCGCGAGAATTATAAAAATATGAGATACATCTCATAGCGAAAATGTTCGTACATATTATTGTAAATCAAGCGTTCGCAAAGAACCGAAACTTCGTTATCAGCTCGTTTAAGTGTGACTTAAGCGCGTTATCGGATCGCGCAAGGCCACAGGCCGCTCTCGTCTGATAACGCACGCCGCTATCGTTATATTGCAAAATAAGCAAATGAAATGAGCGCATATTTTTCATGGCACTTGGTACATTTGCGGTCTATTCTGACTTTTATGAGTGGGAAAATTTAATTACCCGCGTCAATCACGCATCGGGAAAAAAGGGAACGATATCCACGAAGGAATATTGAGATCGGCCTTTAGAAAAAGACTGCGAGTCGGCGCAAACGCAAAGGAACCGTGTCCTTTGAAGAAACACGTTGATTAATTCATTTGGAGATTAATTCTCGAGAGTAATTCATTCTTGTGTTGTCAGAGAAAATACCGGGTATTAACGAATCAATTAACGCTTTTAATTCTTCGTGTCAGCTGGCACGACAGCCAGCGGGCGATTAAATAATTTTCGCTTAGAATGCCGATTATGCACCCCTTCCGGAACTACACGGCGCGTACTACAAATAAAAGATCAGCCAAAATTCTACGGTTCGAGAGGAGCACAAAACAAGGAGGAAAAGGTGTCTGGAATTGCGATACCACGGTCTACTTTTTCATCGGACAAGAGCTTGACGTGCGGCGGTTATTAGGCGGGGTATCGTTAGAAGGGGTCAAAGTCCCAAAAGAGAACGAAGAGGGTGTCCCTTTGCGTCAGCTCGATAATCCCTTTTTCTCGCGTGCGGCGGTCGCATAAACGCCCCGGGCGAGTGTAACGTACATGTAACACAGCCACGCGGATCGGCTGCCAATTACTGCCTCCCAAAAATCCACCATGAATTTAATTTCCGAGCTGCTATGTCGTGTATACACAGAATAATACATACTATACGCAAGTAATAATTACTTGTACTAAGTATTTTAAAAGTTCATATATCTGCAAATCTATCATAAGTTCATTATAACCATTAAATTTATTTAAAATATATTCTAATCCTAGTAAGTTTGCTACTTTAATTAGGATTATTAAATTAAAACAAATTTTCGATTTGCTTTTTGTATAAAAAGTTGCTTCTTCAATCAATTTTATAATATTTTTCAAATAATAAATTCTTCTTTTGAATACATAATGAGTTTATTTAAAAATTTGTAATAAGTTAATATTAAGATTATTATCAAGAAGATATTCTTTGTTAAAGATAACCTTTATTTAAAAGGAAGAAAGTAAATTGAGCAATCAACAACTCTCCGTTTCTCAATGCGATTTTTACTTTCGCAACGACACATTCGTCCGTTTTAAATTTATCCCACTGTGCTGAAAGATCAACACAAGATAGCATTATCGCACAAAAAAAAAGAATATACGGACAAAGTATGATAAGGTACCTTGCCTTTAGAAACGAACTCTTTGTTGTTGAATTCTTTGTTGAAACTTTGCGGTGACGGAAATGCTACAATCTTTTGTTATAATTATATATATGTTCCGATCAAAAATGAAGTTCTAAATTGCAATTAATTAGCTATAACTAAAAAAATTGCGATTAAAACCCTCCAAATGTGATCCAACGTTTTTTTCTCTACTTTCATATACTTCAATCAGGCCATTGTTGTGTGATTGTGTTTTTCAAAAGGTTTTTTAATGCTCTAAAAATTTTGAAAAAAATTGTGACTCTTTCAACACGTTCAAAAATATAATCCGAAACGTTTTTCACTTTTTTTTTATACATGTCCTAATTTGAAGCAGAATAATTCAAAATTCGCTTGAATTTTTGAAGTTTCAGTTGAACAACGGAAGGTTAATTAGCAGTAACTAAAAAAACTGGATAAAAATCCAAAGAAAATTTTAAAAATATCAATTAGTTATAATTTTAAAAAACTAGGAAATCTCTCTCTCTCTAGAAAGCGATTGTAATTTTTATCGATTAAATCGATACATATAAGGTAATCCATTTATCGTTATTCACTATTTATTTATCGAAAAAATTAGATAACATACAAGCGAGATATATTGCATCATCAAAAACAGACTCTTCCTCGCGAAAGGTTTCTAAGTTCACGAGGGAATTTCAAGAAACATCGGAAAAAAGGCGACGATGGGAATAAGAAGACCTGGTAAGTCCGTCATAAAAATGTACGAAGTGTTTCGTCTACGAGAGGCGAAAGAAAGTTCCACCAACCGTCGCAAAAGCAAGAAACCCATGACACGTGAGAAACTTCGAAACATCTTTATTAGCAGCGTCCACGTGTTGCCCTCCATTATCGCGATGCGCATTGCCTTTCCCAATTCTTCGCGAATTTTCGGTTTTTTCATTTTTTTTTTACGCGAACGTAACACCGATAACGAGACACATTGCTATCGCGACTATCTTCTACTTGGCGTAATAATTTTATTTGTCCGAGTCGTGAATTCTAGCGGCACTTTTTTGCGCGGATTAAAGTTGCTTGGTTAAGAGTAAACAACTAGAGACCGCGCGACGACGTGTTTGCATACGCGCGGTAGAAAACAAAATATTTAGCAAAATAGTCAACGTTCCGAAAAATTGTGGCGCGCTGCACGGTTTAATTAAAAGCCCTCCTCGGTAGTAAACTTTACGGTTTACAATGTAACTAGTATGTTTGCCAATGCATCCTACAATCGCCCTTTTTTTATTATTCCATCATATTCGCGCGGTTCGCCCATCAATGTAACTATGTTATTACTGATTTAAGCCAATTCTACAATTGTGTAAACGTAGTTGTAAGTATATAAGAATCGACCAATCACAGTCAAATACGAGGAAAAGTTAGTAATAAACATGTAATAAATATGTAAGATAAGCTTTAAACACTGCAATATTAAGAAACCAAATCACTCAACACGACACTCGAGAGAAAAAGTTATCGATTACCTACTCTCTAAATTTCTTGGAGTAAAATCTCTCAGAAGAGTTAAAGTGTTATCATCATAGAAAAAAGTTAAAAATTTGCACTCTTGAATAAGAGTGGCAGATTTTCACTCTTTTTTGAAGTGAGATTTCATATTTTTGGAGTAAAATTCACACCAAAAAAAAGGAGTGAGATTACTTTTCTTTGGAATGAATCTCAAAAAAGAATGAAAATCTGCCGCTCATTCAAGAATGCAAATTTTTCATTCTTTTCCAATAGTGACAGTATTTTAATTCTTTTGAAGTAAGATTTCACTCCAAGAAATTTAAAGAGTACTCGAAAATTATCGACTATTCATCTCGAATATGTAATTATCCGCCAGCATGTGTTTCCATTGTCAACGCATACGAAATATACATTTTAAACAAAAAAAAGTGCTTTTGAATATGTGTAAGGTCGACTGGAAATGAGGATAGATAAATAGTTACTTATATCAGCTTCATGCGAAGAGGCCACGTAAGAAAGTTTAACATAAAAATTTTAAATCAGTGTACTTACGCAGGTGGTTTGATGGCGGTATGCTGGCGTTCTGCAACAGAAAAAATAGAAACGGCAAAATTAGCAAAATTAGTAAAGATTAATTATCATCTGTTTAATTACCGGCCGACTACGTGCATTATGTTAAAATGAGCTTCCAAATAATTAATGTATTCAAATAAAAATTGCTAAACATTGCAGATTAAGTATTCGTATCAAGTCAATTTGATGCGAATGTTTTCCTTCCTTTGTTTGTAATCTTTTTGTCGTGGAGAATAAAACAGACTCAAAGAAGATTCAAGAAGATACAATCTTGTATAGTTAAATCTTTTCTTCAAATTGAATAACATTTTTCGCAATAAGTTTTCAGTGTTTTAAAATACTGTAGTATTATTATTATTAAATCGACGATCAATTTCAATTGTGATATTATTCCAGCTTCACTTTATGACTACAGTTGAAAGTTGAAATGGAGCACAGTTTATATAATGATGTATTTAGAATTCATGTATAAGTTAGACGCGAAGATTTAGTCTTGACAGTATTTTAAAATGCTAGTAGCATTATCAAATTGATTTATTGTAATTGTGATATTATTATTTCAACTTCGATTTATGATTGCATTTCAAATCCGACAGTAAGCGGCGCGTAATAATTTATACAATTAAAAGACGTATTTAGAATTTACATATAAAATATATTATTAAAATCTAGTGTCATCGTTGTTGGCACTTTCTTTGCTTATTTAATTTATTCATAAAACGATCTAGATTAGCTTATTATTCTCTTCTTCAGTTTCAAAAATCTCTTCTCTGGTTTATATTGTATTAGGCCTACTCTCTTGAGAGAGAGAGAGAGAGAGAGAGAGAGAGAGAGAGACAACTTTCTCAAGAGTCTATATAATTTTTTTCCACAAGCATTTAATAAATATGAACACATGGTGAAGCGTGTAATCATCGTGACCCAAAATCTCGTGCAATTCAACAGAAGTGCGGTTAACGCATTCGAGACGAGGTGAAAAGAGATTCAGTTAGATTGATACATATAGATTCAAAAAGAAGCGGTTTGTCGTTCCAGACACAGTAGTCTTTCGTAGTCGGAACCGACTGTCGTGCACGAGAAATTCGTCTTTAGAAATTCGATGACCTGCTTGCTACCACGACAGAGGGGAAGCAGAGGAAGTAACGATGAAAGGAAGAGGTGGAAGAGCAGAGCGCGCGGGTCGACCGGCATTGCGTAAACAATAGCGTACACGCAACATGCACGCATGCACACAACGCATGTCATGGGAAAGGGACTTCAGGGAAACTTGTGGACGAGTCTGCGGTATGAAAGCGAACGGTGCGGAGGGTGCACGGTGTTAAATTCGAAATATAGAGGGCTGAACACTCTGGGCGGACTGGCGCGCACACACCACCCGTCGTTACAGGACGCCGTATTTTATCACCCTCATTTTACCACCAAGCTTGTCTAATGTGGAAGCGCGTGCTTCGACGTTATTACGAAACCACGCAAGAAATTGTTGCGGCAGCCGGAAATAATTCCGGCGAGAGGAAGTGAGGTTCCTTTTATGTGTAAAACCGAAAGATCTTGGTTTCATATTAGTATTAAACTAAAAATTACTAAAAATTATAAATTAATTTTTTTTCTTTATATAGAAAAGACGCTTTTATTAAAGTGACTAAAAATTTAGCCAGATACAAATCTGGAAATAATTTGTTGAATCCATCAAAACAATTATGCAGATTACTCAAACTGCATAACTGTTAGAATGACAAAATTATTTGCAGCATTACTCATTATATTTGAGATTCTTATTTTAATAATTTAACAAAATTATTTTTAGATCTGTATCTAGCTAAATTTTTAGATATTTTAATAAAATCATTCTTTCTGTATACATAGAATGAATGTATTAAATAAATCTTGACAAATAAATACATCAAATAATATTCTTTTTCTTTGTACATTTTTGCGCTTTTTATAGACGATAAAAAATATTTTATATAATAATAAATACGTCAGATAATTATCATTTTTTTCTATATACATTTATACATATTTTTTTTATATAGATATTAAAGTAGTTTTTGTGTAAGATCAAAAGTATTTGATTTCGTATTAGCATTAAATATAAAAAATTATAATTATTTCTTCACGTTACATAAAAGTGAATAAATAACCTTGATGAAAAAACATGTAAAATAATTGTCAAGTTTTTTCTTTATACATATCTACGTGTTTTTTTTTTACAAGCGATACAAAAAAGATATTATTTTGCATGCTCATTAAATAATTTATATTTACGATCAGAAGATACTCGGTAATGTCAATAAACGATTGTATAATTGCACACACCAGGGCACTTATTATTCATCGGACATCATGGCCGTCATTTCAACAATAGGTATGAAATTATCCTGCGACCTCCCGCCGCCTAATTATCAATATTCGTTGCGTTGCAGTCCAGCGGTCGACTCGGTATACGGATGACTGCGATCAATCAGTGACGCAACGCACAATAACCGCTCTCGATGTCAGAAAATAATTAGCGCCGAAGTATCACGAGGTCGTTGCGTATCTTGTTAACACACGTATGTCAATAATTGAGCCAGATGGAGGAGTTGACTCCGCTTAAATCTTTTAACGTGAAAGTTTACGCCTCCGTAATTCTCACCCGATGCCTAAAATAAAATATAAAATGTTTAAACGAAAAGGGCAGAGAGTCGATGTCAATAATTAATATTATCTGGAAATACAGGCGGAGTATTTCTACGACTGTACACGCGCATGGAAAGAACGGTTTTGCTAAAATATCTAAAAATTTAGTTAGATACAGATCTGCAAATAATTTTGTTGTACTATATTCAAATAATTATGTAAAACGCTTAAACGTTATAAAAATGCTGCAAAAATTTTAACATTTTGAGAGAGAGTTTTAAGCACAATTTTTTTATGTTTGAGAGAAAAATGTTTGATATTTGTGACTATAATTGCATGGTAAAATAATTATGATTAGGAGTGTTATTTTTATGGTTATTACTGCTATAATAATAATAATCATATATGTTCTCTCAAACATAAAAAAATTGTACCATAAATTATGATAATTTCAAACATTACTATAGTAAAACATTAAGATATAAATGTTACAAACATTTTTATTCAGTAAATGCAATCGCAATTACAGTAAATATAATTATTTTCTTATGATCACTTACTATTTGGTAATCATAACTAAAATATATGTTTAAAAAATTAACGATTTTCAAGCAGTGTGTGCGCGTGTATAATGATTACTATTAATAATTAACTATATTTGTATAGAGACAATAATTGTAAATATAAAATGGTTCTAAAAAATTATTAGATGCAAAGTATAAGTTAAATTATAATAATTGCAATCATTTTTCTTCTGCAGCAAACAGTTTAAATATGTAATTATATTTGGATGGTCCGAACAAAATTATTTTCAGATCTGTATCTAACTAAATTTTTAGATATTTCAGTAAAACTATTCTTTCCGTACGCAGCCAGTCCGCGACAACCAAGGCGACTCGTATAAATAATTTCACGCGTTAAATTTATCCGCTCGACGCGATCTATAACATCGCCGACCGACCACCCTTTCTCTGATCCAGAAACGCAGGGAACTCGTCAGCGGACGTGCTGATGATCATTGAGATTCGAAATTTGCAGCGTTCTCCGCGCGTAACAATGTTGACATCGGGTCAACCCGTGTAATGCGCGCGCCACGCCGGTGCAACAATGCGCTGTAAATTCATCGTCCGAGTTATCTCCGACTGAGCTCCGTGAGTCATCGACCGCTGTCATCGTCGCGCCGCAATCGATTGAATCGAGCAAATAGAGGAACAGAGAGCGAGAGCGAGAGCGTACGACTTCGATGTTGCGCACCTGATGATAACAGAAGGTAGCTGACACCGCCCTGAAGTAGCTTGAATCTACTGAACATGAGTTATCGCTGCTGTTGTTGTTTCTGTCTCATGTTATTCGTGCTCGCGAAGTAGTGCAGTCATCGGACGGTACGTCGTTGGAGATGCTGCATCAAGATGCGACTTCTGATGCTTAGGAATTCCTGATGAAGTTCACTTTCCAGACTCCGCCCGATCACGTCAGATTATGCGATCGCAGAATTGTCAAAATAACTCGTCGATTCTTCAATTAAGTTTATCCCTGGATCTTGTAATTGCGAAACGTATTGTGAATTAAATTTTGCCTAAGTTCTTCTTTTTCCACTCATGCATTTCAACGTTTCACTTTTTATATGCTTACATCTTTATTAATTATATTAGACGTATCAATTATCTAATTACTCGGTTGAGAATGATCGAGTTAAACTAAAATGTTCTACTAGTTTATATATATATATATATATGTATATGTTATATTTAATAAATATATTCGTCTAATTTTGAGCTCATTTCATATAAATGACCTCTCTTCCTTCTCATTTTTATTTAGTAAAACGAGCGTAATTTATTATTGATTTGAATTAAATTTGCACGATCCTGTTTACGAATCTAGGTTACGACACAGAGTTGTATCTTCAAGATATATTTTCTGTTATCGAAATGGATTACGTTCAGCCTATTATTACATCGCACAATGCACCGAACCAACGTGGAATCGGCTTTATCTCAGGAAATTGCGAGAAGTGGCTGGCGACGTCCGTTCGCCGCACAAGCGGAGCATTCAGTGGGCTTAAATACAAAGCTCACATTATCCAGGGGGACATTGAAAATCCGCGTGCGCAAGAAACGAATCCAAACTCACGTCACACACGCGAGGTCGTGCGGATAAAACAGTGGCAAAAAGTTTTCTTCAAGGCTGTGCGAAACATCAAATCAAGATCCACCGAAAACTATTCCAGTCGTGAACGCGAGGCTCTAATAAAAAAAAGTCGGTGGGTCCGCTCAATATCCACGTCCTGATATTCGTAAAGAAACCCTGTCATGAAGACAGGTGTCGGCGTGCGAAGAATTCTTCAAGGTTGTAAAATTGCGAGATTCCAAGACCTTCGACGCATTTGAAACTTGAGAAAGTTCAGATTAACTTTTATATTAGGAAAAAAAGAGAGCGAGCAAGTATCACGGTACAGGATGTAAAAGAAGAAAGGGTTCTCTTCAAGGTCGACACAGGGTGAATCCACGTTTTCGTGCCGGAAGCGCCAACACGCCCCCTCGGGGCTTGCTTACACGTGAGCGACTGACCCAGACCCAGCTAACTATGGCCGAGAAAGACCAGTTAGTCCTCTTCGGGGTCACCTATGTACTTTGGTAAACTTTGCGGCCACGCGACGTATATCCTCCTCTCGGGACGCTTTAGAAACGAGTGCTAACGACACGTGTACCAGTCTGAGCACTTCGGCACCGTTTCCTCTTTGTCGATCAGCGATGTTAATTTTTCTTACTGAAAGGAAGTAATTGTCATTCCAGCAACGTTCCGGCTAGAGGCGACATATGCGTGAACACGTGAACGATGACAGTAGATGGCGATCAATAAGAATGCATGCCGGGATCATGTCCTACAAAGTGCTCCTCTTCTCTTTTTTCCTTTGCTCACTGGAACCCTGAAGGGTTCAAGTACTATAAGTAACAACGCGAAGAAAATATTAAAGTACTCCTGGACACTGCCGGGATTCAAACCGAAGCCTATTTTCTGAAGCCTAGTTTCTCCTATTAAGCAATCATACTGTCACTGAGCCACACAGTCCCTACGTTGACACTCACTCTTGTGTCTACTTATACATATCTTACAGTATCATGGTTACTCAAATACAAAGATGAGTCAAGAGCAGCTTATTGTAGGTCTAGTTTTTATTCTTGCACTAGACTGCATTAGAACTTTCTGTCGCCAAATACGTTTTCTCACTTCAAGTTCCAAAAAAAAGCATTCACGAGTTCAATCACCGAAAACAGATCTCTTGTCTTCTTTTAGTTCAAGTGCTCCTTCTTGAAAGGAATACGTGTGTTGAGGCTTCACTGAAGCACCGATCGCAGCACTCTCGCTGATGCGACTGATCGTATCGAGCGAACGGATCAGCTGCCATGAAAAACGAGCGCCCCGTGTCCGTGAATTCAGATCGCTGTTCCCCTATGGTAACTTCCGGCGATGCTCTGAAATTATCGATTTTGCGACACGTGGCGTGACTCGGTATTTTATTCGTTTAATGCGCGGCACGATTATTTACGAGAACCGCGCGTTTCACAAAGTCCGGGTAATCTTAATTACAAATTTCTCGCTTTTCATGAGATGCGATATAAATCAATAATATTGATTAGACATCGTCGCCTCCACGAGGCATCACGGAATGCGATCCCCTCGTTTATAAAGTCATGAAGAGATTCTCCCGCCTTTGTGCTCCAGTATATCGGCGGGACCTCGTTTTGAAACCGAGCTTCGATCGATGACACAGGTTTCCTCGTAATTTCTCATCAACGTCGCAACGACGGTACAATTGATCGACACGAAACTAATTTTAATGAGACGGTGATAACTCGCTGACGACAACGAATGATACATATGCGCGCAGAGAACGATCCGCTTTATGAAGAACGTCACGCGATACACTTCATCGCGAGCCAATAGGGACGCGCCGTCAGTTGAACCTCGTTTTGAAACTCAACACCGATCGATACTTGCGCACAACTTTGTCTGCACGTAATTCCCACCCTCTCATCAACATTTCAACGGCGAGTAGAATTTAAATGAGCGTCAAGCTCGATGACACGCACGTTGATTAATTCAAGCATGCACACGCCTGATCATCGGCTCCGCGCATCTCCTCATCTATTGTTGTACTCCGCGCACTCCGTCAAATTGAGCCTCGGGGGCTGTGGTAGGGGATCTCCGTCGAACACTTCACACTCGAAAAACGATTGATTACACCGCGTAAACCTGCAAATCGCACGGTCAACACTTCAACACTTCATCGACGCAGGTTTAAATGTCATCGAGTGACGACGGGCTCGATGACATGCGACGTTACTTTCTCATCGCGTGTTACGCAATCAATAGGGAACGGAGTAAAAAAAAACCTCCCCGGTTAAAAGTTCCCACCAGGAGGAAGGATTTCACACTCGACTTCGTTTGGATCGATCAGCGCGATAATAGTACAACTTTAGAATCTTCGTCGAACTTGGCATCGCTATATGATCTCACAACATGAGGGCGCGAATCTAAGTAGAAATTAATGAAACTTTACCAAGCTTCTTCTTGCACACAAAAATATACATACTATGCGCAAGTAGTAATTACTTGTTTCAAATATTTCAAAAGTTCATATTTGCAAATTTATCAAGTTCATTACAAACATTAAAATTCAAAAAATGCTCTGAACCTAGTGAATTTAATACTTCAATCAATTATCAAATTAAAACAAATTCGATTTGCTTATTACATATAAAGTAGTTTTTCTCCGATCAATTTTATAATATTCTTCAAAAAAAATTCTTTTCAGCACACAATAATAAGTTTCTTAAAATCTGTAATAAATATATTTGAGAGTTATTATCAAGAAACAAAACAAATTGAATAATCAATTTTCTTAACAATAGAATACTTTTCTGTGTGCACTAAAATTTTTAATAATATTTCAAGGTTATTACAAGAAAATATTCTTTGTTAAAGACAATAACCTAAAAGGTTAACTTAAAAGGGACAAAATAAATTAGGTAATCACTTTTCTTAGTAAATTCCGACCGTTCAGAACTGGTTTATAAATTTTCCGGCAACACTTTACCGGCTGCGACAGTAAAGAAATTTAACTCGCTGGCGCGAGTGCGACATGTACGGTCTAAACGACGCGCGTCGGTTGACTGAGGCTCGAAGAGGCCCCTTCTAGTCGGACGGCATGGCATCACCGCGGCACGATTTTCTGCTTACTACCACCGCCGCTGCCGCTGTTGCTGCTCCTGCTCCTGCTTGCTGTTGCTTGCCGCTGTTGCTTCGCTGCCGGGTGGCGCGGCGCGCCGATGGTACGGTAAACGGGCCCCGGAACACGCGCCGACGAGAGGGGCCTGGGGCCCCTGCGCGAACATGAACGCGCGCAGCTTGGCAAGCAGACGGTCGGCTTCACCTGCACGCATCGAGGGCTTTGTTACGTATTCCCCTTCTTCTTGGGCAACGCGACGCGGGGCCCGCGTTAGGGCCCTACAAGCAAAGCTGATGCCGAGTGCCTACGTGACCGTTCGTAATATACACGAATGCGCGCCTTCGAACTGTCGTCAGGGTTGAAGAACCCTCCCTCGGAAACAAGGAAACTTCAGGAACTCGACTCGATTGAGAGATTTATGCGTGTTTAGGTTGCCAGGGGAAACCTTTCTACTCGGGATTTATCGACAATCCCGCGCGCCCGTCGTTGACTCGTACACGGGGTAAAATACAAAGGTAAATATTACAAAAGGATAAAAAATCTCTTAAAATGTAATTCTGGACGAGCACGAACTTCCGATTCGAAGATCTTAATTATTGATCCGTTTTCGAAACGAATAAATGAATAATTTATTGGCTATTTTAATATAAATTTTAAAAATAGAGAATGTGAGACTATATATATATAATTGAATCTCCTCTTCACTATTCGCTGTTTAATGTACATGTTTTCGACATTTGCGCGTAAAATGCATCGACATATTGTTTATATCGACTTGGATCTGCATTTATTCCCTGTTCTTATATCTTACTCTCGTATTTCATTGTGCTTTGAGCATTTACGAGCAGCGGAAGTTTATCGCGGAATCCGAGCTGCAACGTAACTAAACGTGGCTCGAATTAATGCATTCAATGACGCGAGGTTCATCGATGATCGGCACTTGTGTGTTTAACTAGCTCCAGTTTATACCGACTATTCATGTGATAGATTATGCGAGAATAGTATTGAACCTGTACGACAAAAGTGAATAAATTAAAGATATAATATGCTAAAAACATAAACTTATAAATTAGGAAGTAAGTAGCAAACTTTTAAAATAACAGGAATTCATACTTTCTGTATAAATATTATACAAAACAGTTCAATAAGAGAGAAAGAGAAAGAGGTCAATATTTATATTTAACAACACAATTTTATAGTTTAAATAAAGATTTTTTCATTTTATTTTAATTATTTTTTAGAAACGTGACTCTTATTTTTGGTCCAAATTCTAAATCGGTGCCAAACATATTTCGTATCACTTACAAATACAATACAAACAATTTGTAATTTTGTCATAATTTTCATTTTGTTAAAAAATACGTACAACATAGTTTTAAATAATAACGCCGCTCGCTGTATACAATTCGGAATAAATTATTTTTGTAATTATTGTCGATAAAAATCTGTGCATATGTTGGAGTAATAATTAAAAATAAGTCTAACTGAAAATAAATCACAAGATTCTGATCATATCAATTCTGCTTATCTCAACTAGAATTGTAATTCAATGTTAGATTCAATCAGGAATGATTCTGATTTGTCCAACTTTCAACCAGAATATAACTAGACTCTTTTTCTCCCTTTTTACGAATCCAAATCGCACCAAAACTTTATACTTTTATAAAATGATTTAAATCATAAAGGAAATATAAAGGAAATATAAGTTTTTTTAAATTATTGATTTAAATCATATTCCAACTTCTTGAAATTGTCAGTTTTATCTTATTATTACAGCTACTGTATTTTATACACTTTTCATAGCGTTTCCTTATCTACTTCAAGAAACTTGTTCCTAAACAAGATTGTCCGCCTTCTTCCCACCATTGAATTATGTGCCGCTCGTTACTTCGATTACCCGAGCTTTTTCAAGACGATCGCCGTGAGGGAGAGGCCGTGACGCCTCGTAACGATAAAACGCTTTGCACGCGCCGGGACGATGATGCATCGCTCGGAACGAGCCGAAGCGAAGGAACAATGAATAACCACCACCAGTCGACGGTGCGCTGCGATGTATCGTGATGCGAATGGGTGATAACAATAATTACGAGAGAGTGTTCTCTCGCTCGCTTTAAAAAGCGACTACTGTGGACGCAAATATTGTTATAACGCGGCCGCGCTCGAGGTAGAGTGCCTCTACATCTACCGAATCCGAGGCGTATCGTCGTCGTCGTCGTCGTTGTCGTGTTCTCCACGTGTGCACCACGCCGATCCGAGCCGCAAATGCAACACATACGCTCGACGAGAGCGCATCGTCGTGCATAAGTGGCACTCCGATACACCGAGTAAGGGCCTTCGTCTTTCCTCGTGTTTGCCGCCTGCTCGACGCACACCTCAAGCATTCTCCAGACGCCCACTTGGTTTCCCTTACCTCATTACCCTCTCTCCACCTGACTCGCTCACACGAGGGTGCAGAATTAATGCAGCCGTACGAATTGATACGCTCCGCGATTCGATATGCATCGGAGACGACACGCTAAACGCTAAATGCTCCATCGAAAGCAAAATGCCAAAGACTTTGAAATTCACCGGTCTTAGCTCCGACCGGATTGTTAATTAAAGCGAGTCTCGGGGGTTGTGGAACATTTAATATTCAAATTGTCTAAATAAATCCCATCAAATTGATGACATGGCTTGATAACTCCGAATTTTTATATAAATACGTTTTCAAACCGGTAGAATGTATGCATTTCATAAAGTTTGTACGAGGCAGAAACGATTGCGATGCAATAGCCAACGTAATTATTCTGGATTACTAATATAAAAGCTTTTAATACGAACGCAGGGTTATAAAAACAAAGAGATCCAGAAAAAGTAACAAAATTAACAATTTCTACTTACATTGTTGGAGTTACATTTTTGAAATACACAGATGTGTGAAAAAAAAAGGCAAATATTTTTCAACGAAAATTATGCAAAAATTACCAACGACGATTCTTTTTATCTGTGCTATCATTTTTGTCCCCGTTACAAACTTTTCCGAGAAAGTGCCTTGAAAGTTACGAGGGCTACGAAACGAGAAGTTTGACGGAAACGTTCGATGGCCAGTTGTTGCTCGTACATGCGTATCGATCGATGTGTTCATCGCGCGCGCGTGATCTGTGTTTATGTTAATGTGTACGTGCGTGTCGGCCGTGAACGGATCGCGTCCATGTATTATTAAGGCATATAGTTAGCCGGCACACGCCAGGACGGCGTACGGCAGTTCCATGTGCACCTGTTTGACCAAAAGGATCTGATTGGACCACCTTGCCTGCCCATCCAGAAATATCATTCAATTTCTTATCCTAAAATTCCATAATTTTTTCCAGACTTCCAGACAAAATTTCATGACTCTGCCTGATGCTTTTAATAATATTCTGAAATTTTTTTTCTATTTTCTTGATTTGGAAGCCGTTAAATATTTTGTTGAGAGATCAATTTAACATAGCCATGTAAATTACTATTAATTTTGTTGACACTGCTTGTATTTAGTTGTTAAGTTGGTAGTATTTCAAAATTGCATAGATACATCAAGCTTCTTTATATTAAACTTCCATAAAGCTCAGAATTTTAATTTTCCAGAAAGCTTTGAAAAATTTCTTCATTTTTCCTTAATTTCTCTGACTGTTTTCAATTTCTTTGACACTTTCCCATAATTTCTAATTTTGTGACAACTCTGCCATCACAACTTTGTCTTTCCTTCAGTGTCGCATCATTTTCGCCACTCTCCCATCCTTGTTCTCCTTATACCCTTTCATCAACCATCATAATTTTGGAGATTTATCTCCTCTCGCTCCTACATTTCGATAGATAATCCACGAGGAAATCGTGACGCATTATATTGCTCAGTCGTTCCCGAAATTAGGTCTCCGAAAGCAAACCAGACGTCAATATGACCTGAGGGCAAGCGATTTAGCGGGGCTCATTTCGATGACGAGGGAATGACATATTCCGGGATAAAATCAGAATTCACCCTTCCGCAAATCTCCGTAAATACTGTCGATTAAATAGAAGGGAAGGGAATACCATGTTTTATTGAAATAACTCGCAATATTTTGTGATATTTTGTGTGACATAATTACTTTTGATACGAGTTTGTTAGCTATAGAATGATATCAATTATGCTGTAGGTCTTCGGATATAATAGAACGTGCAATTTACAAAAAACTGAAGAATAAAAAGGTTATGGAAGAGGAGAATAGAATGTTACCAACTATGTATGTAATATAACTTTATACGTCATGCACAAATCGTTACCAAGTTAGTTCAATTGTTTGAAAGCCTCCAAGCTTAATTTATACACGACGATTTTCTGATTCTTTACTGTACACGATAAATCGTCCCGGGTTATTTTTCATTACTTTTACAAATACTTAAAAAAAAAGTGTTTAATTATAAGATATAATATTAAAATGTTTTATTCTTGTCTCCATTTTTTTAAACACACTTAAAGATGTTATAGTTTTAAACTTTTTCAAAGATACTATGTGTTTGGATTTAAGTACTTACGTGTTTTAAATACAAACACTTCTTAGTGCGCATACAAAAATTAGTGTTTCTTACATCTTTAGAAAGATATTTATAAAGTTGTGTAATAAGAAGAGGAAACAATAAAGACCATTATTTAGCCAAATTCTCTCGGTATTTAAAAAAGAAATGCGCAGGATATGAATAATCCAATCGTGGGTTAAAATTAATATCAACATACTTTTCAAAACTACTTAAAAAGCATACACCTGAGAGTACTAACCTATTTCTAACCGTCTCCTCTCCTCTATTTCTTTTTATATCAGATAAACATTTATTTTCAATCTCGGCGGATGCGATGGAAAATTCATTTGTATCCGACGGACTAAGTAAGACGTTTCTTTTTATAGTCGCCCCAATGGACGAGTCTGGTGTGTATTAATTACCTACTAATAAATTCAACTTCAATAATCGATTACATTTTGCCTCCTTCGTTGCAATGCGACGCGATGCATCGCGCACTTATTGCCGCGATACACGTCGAATTGTTCATGTGCTGCTATCGCGATGACGCAGATGGAGTCCGCCGATGGTAGCGATAAGTCATCCTTGACAGATCTACGACCCACACCTCTACCTTTTCCACGTAGCAGCACGTAATAATGATGCAAAGAGCCTATAACGCGAATTACAGAAGTTGCTATTTAAAAGCGTGTTTCCATCACGTTCTCCCATTCCCAACTAGCGAAATCATCGATTGGAATGCTATGAATCGTACAATAAATATCTTCCATCATATACGCGAGAATAAATCTTGAATTAAGCTTTTGCAGTCTCGGCGTCGACGAAGAGTCTGGTCGTATTTTGAAATGTCATGCCACTGCTGTATAATTCACTTAATTTTGACATATTCACGATGTAGAAGCGTGACTTGCAAAAATATTTTTATTGCGTTTTTATTAAGGCTGTTATCGATCATAGCGCTGATAACACGTAACAAGTGTATCACCAATTTCTCCTTTATTGAAAAGATTATCGCAAGATTTTTAACAACGTACTTTATTGAAATAACCGGCGTCCACGACGTCATCTGCGTTAAGAAGAAACACCGTTGCGAACTAACATATGCATTTCAAAGTTAATTAACCACCCAGCTGGGAACGCAAGCTGACAGCTTGGATTCCTTAATCAAATCAAATATCGCAAAATGCCATACCACTACAAAACTTCCGATTAGTTGACCCATAATACTGGAACATATGGGTCCTGATGACCCTGAAACATTTTCCTAATATTGTAATGACTTGGAATAATTTCATGTTTCACAATCTTATTTTTCACACTTTTATTCTATTCTTTTACTATATTTAGGTTAACAATAAGTTAAAATATTGCAATTTTTTACATAGTTAAAATTCTAGAATATTTCAGATTAGGCATCAAGTCAGTCAGTCAGTTATTATGAGCTGCAATCATGCTCATTGTATGCTTTTAGTATTTTGTCATGTACTACTATATTGCTTTAATTAACTTTCATATCAAATAAAGCTATTATTATATTATTATATTAAGTCGAAATAAGACTCTATAAATAAGTACGTTCAACGAAGAGAAATTACGATAACAAAGTTAGATATTGAAATATTAATAATATTCCATACTTATATATTTTTAAATATATTAATCTCAGATAAGTGTATGACTACGGGTCGATTAATTTTTTCTCTTTTAGTTCTTCTAAAACAAAAGCTTTAGTAAGTCCCAAGGACACATATGTTTCTTTAACATCACGAAAAATATCTCTTTCTGTTACAAATTAATTATAGATAATCCTTTTGCAATATAAAAGTTTCATAAAATAAACGAAAAACTAACATTTTTGTTATAAGACAATGCTGGTAAAAATATACATGCATTACCGTGAAATTCAAATGAATCATCTTTAACATGATTATCTCAAGTTTCATATGATATTTCATTATTGAAATACCGTAAGTGCATCCATGATATTATTTTAGACGATGTCACTCTTTTTTAAGAAGGAACATGATCTCAGATAACACAAGCACTTCAAAATTACTTTAGGCCCAGTCGAGAAACGTAAATCGCCAACGTGACCTAGATTTCTCGTAGTGCCACTGCGAAATTCTGAGTCACTTCTAGGTAACCGATTGCCTCCTCGCGTATACGACGTCATATTAAGCAATACCCTTCATTGTTGTTCGGCCGACTATGATGATAGGGAATTACTTGACTGTAACGCTTAATTTGCATCCGCAGGAAAGTACGAACGGCGAGCTGACGAAGAGAACGTAGGCGAAACACGAAGAAGTGCATTACCGAGGCATAAAATCAAGAGAGACAAGCCGACAAATGCAACCCCCCTCCCGCCCGCAAATAAACGCAACGATGTAATTACGTAATGTCAAGGAGATATTAGTTTTGTTTTTTCAAAATGTAAATTGATGTATTTATAAATACAATTTACATCAATTTACATTTTGAAAAAATGAAAGAATAAAATAAAAAAAGAAAGAATCTGCGATTGTCATGTTAATTAATAATGTTGTCTTTTTCCCATTTTCTTGATTTTGTTTCATTTCGCAATTCCTTTCACTTACATTAATTTACATCAAAAATAATCTGCTTATGTATTACCTCAAACAAGAGATTGAATATTATTTTTTCAACTTTAAAATGAGGTAAAGACGATAAAAAAGCTAACGCCGTTGCCCGACAAAGGGCAAATCGCATTTATTGGCAGGTTATTCGAGTTTACCCGCAAAAAGCACTCGCTTTTTTTTACGTTGTCAAGTGTGGAAGAAGCGAGGTTACGTGTGACGGCTTTGTTATATATAAACAGTGCAATAAGAACATAAGCAAAATACGCTCTTTTATTAATAAAAGATAAGTAAAATAAAGTTAAATAAAACTATCAAACGGTTTCTTATATTCATTAAAAAATTTACCTCAATCCAACTTTGTTTTATATTTTATAATAACGATGTTTCAGCACGTTAGTCGAGATCCAAAAGGAAAAAAGGGAGAAAGAGGACCCAGACAGATTTTTCTAAAATAATTCAATTTAAAAAAAAACCGGTTAAAGGGATCCTAAAGTCTATTTTACCGATTCAGTAGGATTTATGTGTCATTGACGCATCACTACACATTACTACATCAATATCGCATGCATACATAAGTATAAATTTGTGAACTAATTATCTTTCATATTTATATTAATCTTTCTACTATTAATCTTTCATATTAAATATCTAATTTTAAGAGCTCAAGTTGCTTCATATCAATCCCTAGTCCAAATCAATATTGTTTTGTATGTACAAAGTATAACTTGCATATAAAGCAAATGTTATTACAAGTCGACAGAAGCCGATAACAAGATTATAATTTTCCTTTTTCGTTTTTGGCATAAAGTGTCTACTACATTATCATTCATATTTTAACCGAGGAAAAGAATTTTTATATTCGTATATATAAAGGCAGTTAGAAAAATACTTAAAAAATAATCAATAAAACAAAGACGATTTCAGGGGAACTTTCAATCCCCTTAAAAGAAAGCGTTACGTGCCGTCCGCTTTTGGACAAAGGAATATATAAGAATACGTAAAATGTCATACGGTCGGCGAGATCCGAGTCTTTTGTGTCAAAAAAGAGAAAGGGGAATATCACGGCGAGAAAGGATGAGAGGCAGGCTGCGTTATATACGCGGAAGGGATGTAAGGGAAAAACGTGAGCCGACATGTGCCATCGGCCGACGCGATGCGGCGCATGACGACGACCCAGTTTGCCGGCTCTCCGGGGCGCTCCATGATGCGGAATCGACTTGCATAAACGCTACCGGCGGGCGGCTCCTTCGAGCTTATCCAAACGTATCTGGAGCGGCTTTGCATCTCCATTCCGCTTGGCCGGGTCGTTCCGTCCGCAATTGCGAAACGTCCCGTTCGCGTTGTCGTTGCCGAGTTCGATTTTTCGAGAGGACGTTCCGAGTGAGCGTAAAATCGCAAAATGAAGGAGACCCGGCATTCGACAGAGAAATGGATCCTATCTATTGGGGATACTTGGTTCCTTGCTTCGTCCAATCTTTCGTGCCATGGCAAATCGTAACACGATAAGCCGTATATATATATATATGCCGCGAGAAAAATGGAAATACTATTTTAAAGTAAAGTGCGCTCTTTGCCTCGAGATAAATTTAGAAAAATACATTTAATATATTTTTTAATACTTCTTCAATTGCGCGTCAATTTCAAGAAAAAGACGACAGACCACGTGGAAATATGGTTTTGCTAAAATGTCTAAAAATTTAGCTAGATCTGAAAATTATTTTGTTGGACCAACAAAATTGAGCATGATGATAAACTGCAAAAAAATTTTGACATTCTAGCAATCATCAATTTTAAGTGTTCTACATAATTATTTTGGTTCAACAAAATATAAAATATTTTCAGATTTGTATTAGAAGACAACTCGAACATGCACTAACAAAAAATAGTTTGTATAATATGAGACTTGCAAAAACTTTCTTACTTTTTCATTTAAAATTTTTGTTACTTTATTCAAAATTTGATTATTCTAATCAAATTTTGACAAGAAAATTTTTTAATGAAAAAGTAAAAAAGTTTTTGTAAATCACATATTATAAGTCACTTCTTTTAACGTGACGAATAACGACAAAAAGTTTTAATATTCAGCAACTATTCTTCAACCAGTTTTAGCGTCCTACATAATTATATTAATGTTTCAAAAAAATTATTTTTACATCTGTATCTAGCTAAATTTTTAAATACTTCAGCAAAACTATATACACATTTGTATCTACGCAAAAAAAAAAAATAAAAACTTAAAATAAAGACCGTTCGCGATGAAACACGGTAGCTCGCTTGTTTCCATCGCTTCATTTACGTTATAAGAGAATGTGCGAGGCTCATTCACCCGCCAGGTGTGCATAGTGTTCGTCTCGGGCCAACGAATGACGATGCATAAAGTCGGCCGGAACCGTGGCACACGTCAACGTGGATAGTTATTAACGGGTTGTACAGCACGACGACGCGATATTCTCGGGAGTTCGCCTCGTTGGTCGGAGCCAAAAGTTATCCTGACTTCGGAAACTTCTCGAAAAGGGGGCTGCCGGATAATTCTCTGTTTCTCTCCATCTCCTCCCTCTCTCACCCTCTCGAGCACTTTGAGTTTTGATAGTTTCTGACCCCCGCACACGTCGCGAACAAGATTGCAAATTCAGCGCTGCTGCACGTGGTTCGCCGCAAGTGCATCGTAAAAGAAACAACACGTATATTGCAACGCGGATACAATTCTTGCACCCGAATCGGTATGCTCCGCGCAAGAATGTTAGCATAAATGTATATTAGCGTCGAAACACTACTGCGCAAATCGTTTAACAACGTTTAACAGTAGATTCTTAAGATCATTATGAGACAAAAATTCTAATATTAAAATGTTGAGGCTGTAATAATTTTTCAATTATAAGCTTTAAAATTAGAAAATCATACCACCTATATAAACGCGCATTCAAATGCGAAAATGAAAACTATAATAATATATATTGTCACTTCTTGTTTATATAAAGATTACGTATGAGATAAAATTATTGACATTTGTAATTATTGATATTTATTATATTGACCAATTATTGGAGCTTCAACATTGATTTTTAGAATTTTCGTCTCAAAATGATCAGGAAATGATCATTTTGAATCTCTTAAGCGTTGTTACGATCTTTATGGGACATCCATAGCGTTTGAGAATTAAAAAGAAAGCAGCAATTTTCTAAATAATTGTGAGTAAAATAAAATGTAAATTGAGTTACATTTAAAGAAAAATTTTACTTTTGAAATAATAGAAAAATGAATTTGCATATTTATTATTAGCACATGGAGAGAATTTTCTTTTAAAATTTATCCTGAAAATATGGTAGTTGTGATACAATATAATATTTTAAAGATTTTTACTATGCACTTCAGTAAAATTGATCAAACTTATTTTACACTTTATTGTAGTTTTATTAATGAATAAAAGAGATTTAAAATTCTTCGAAATACAATGTTGTCCCATGACTGTCATATTTTCAGGATAAATTCTAAGAAAAAATTCTCTCCGTGCATAAAAATATTTTCTAATGTAGACACAAATTTGTATAAGAATATTAATATATTTATTTAGTCATTTTTTCAATCAAGTGACTTACCACTCGGACTTGATTTACAAGCAGCTTTATCTCGCTCGATTCTTTTACATTCTCTTTTCTATACTCTCGATTCTATGTCTAACATCCATTCCACAGCTTGCTTTTCTTCCCTCTTCATCTACATATGCTCGATTGCACATTAATTTATATAAATAAAATATAAGTTTACATAATTAAAAAAATAATAAATAGAATATGTATTATAAAAATAATGAAACAGGATATTTAACAAAATGTTTTGATGCAATTGTATTGCTATCAAAATGCTTTTGAGATTTTTTCAAAAGAAATACTTACAATATTATCCTTTCTAAAATAACAAATTCAATTATAATGTTTAAAAGAATACATAAATGTTATCAGATAGTCAATTTATTATTCTTGTTGTTACTTATAGTGTGGAATCGCGTGGAATTTATGAACATTACGCGACTCTGTAATTATTCACCGAGTCATTAAATACTTTACCGAACGTAAAATGCGGCCACATACGCAGCTATAAGCAATGCATGAAATTTTAAAAGTTCGGCGGCTATACTGAACACGACCGTGGATATTTTTAACACATATATTTCCTGTTTCGCGGTATATAAATATTGCATGGCGCTGCTTGCTCTCTTTAGGGCTGAAAATTCGAACGGGAAATACCTCAGGCTACTACCTCGCGCTTTTGCACGGCTTTCAACAAAAATCCCGTCCGTGCGCAAAAGTGAATTATATGTTTCTACAGAGTGAAAAGTTTCCTTTGGAAAACACGGACTTGCTACAACCCGTCGCCACTCTACCTTTTCTCCCTTCGTCTTTTCGCTGCTGTTGGAATAAATTAATAGGCGAGGTGGCTCGAATGCCGACTGCTTTTTTACAGAAGCTGAGTAACGAAAAACTAAGCCAAATACAGGCTAGATACATTCACGACGTAAGATTAAATATAGCGATAAAATCAACGATCGTATAAAACTCTAACAATTAAAAAAAACCGTAAGATAATCAAATGCCGATATTAAATATTATTTCTAAAACGCTCACTTTACACAAATGGAAAGTTTAATTCACAATCTCAACTTTTCAATCACTATATTCTCCATCATCATTCGTATCACGATAATCAAAACGATTAAATCATATTACGCAAATGAATAAATAATTATTTTACTTCACCCTTTATATAAAGCTTTAAGCTCTGGTAATTTAAAAATTCGTAAAATGATAA